AAATGTGGTGATTTTGATTATTTTTTTCTGAGGTAATTCCTCAAAGAACACACTTCTTCAAAGGGCAACATAACTGTTAATAGGCAAATTGCAGTTGGAATTTAAGGCACCTTACTAGTGTGCCAGATTGTGCTACACAGAGAATAAAATGCCAGGGTCAACTATTCTCATGTATAAAGCATGTATTCATGAGTCAACTGTTTATTTTAAAAAACAATAACTTCACACTCTTAAGCTTTTTCAATTAGTCGGAATTTCTTTAAACAGACTTTGAAAAATAAGACATCCTTCATACCATTTCCCTTTCTTGTAAATACATCTTTTAGAACCACAACAGGTCCTTAATTTCTTTACTAAAGTTTAATAAACACACRCAGAGCAAAAGAAGCTGCCGTACTTCTCTAGCAGAACCAGACAAAAGCTTCAAGCAATGTAAAAATCGGGTTTACAAAACTGAATAGTAGGAAACAAAGAATAGTTGAAGTCAGGAAGTGTATTGTAGGCATGGAACAGAAGTTGATAATGTTTAATAGCTTTGGCTGAATCAGAAGGCTATAGTGAGTTATTAGCATCCTTCAGTGGTCAAAACAGATTTCCTTTACTTGTGTCCTTTTCACAAGTGAATGTGCCTGTATTTTCATGAGCTTGGCAAGTAACTCGTGATTATTTCACAGCACACCCTGACAACTCTAGATCAAGCTACACACTCAACCTGTAATTTGCAGAACAAGACTTATGTATAGCCTAAGCATGCCTTCATGCAGATAAAACAGAGTTGTTCACAGATTTACATATGCTTGATGCTTTGGCAAAAAGTGCAGTTGAATAAAATACCTCAAATAAAGGTATCTTATTCTTGTGAGCCAGTTAGGTTCCTTTCTACAAATTAGTGGAGAGCTGCAGAGTGTCCTTCTTTCCTAGGTCATGTTTCTGGCCACTTCTGTCTCTTCTATTGTTCCTATTTTTACATGACTTAGTTCATTTGGACTCCTGTTATCAATCTGATGACACTCACCACATTGAGTGCTACTGAATTAAAAAACAGAGGAAAATGATAGAACAGAAATGGAGGTGAGTAATCTGAATGACATAAATAACACTTTTGCAAGATAAAATGCATTCAGTGATCTATTTCTGCTGCTGCAGCCTGTGCAGCCCTGTGAGTTAAAAACAGGATCTTTTATGGGAGTGGTTCAGTGCCGGAAGAATCTGGGTGATATCTCAGTTCCTGCAGTGTAAGAACTTATCTGTACTGCCTGCGCTATGAAATAAATAGAGCATTTCCTAGCTAGTGGGATTAATATGTGATCTGGTAGCAGCCAAGAATTGGAAGAGCCCTGTTTACACAAGTTCTTTGCACCTCAAGTGTTAGCATTTCAATTGTAGCTGKATTTATACATACATACTTTTCATGTATGTAATTTTATAACATTATTATGGTTTTTAGGCAGTTCACAGATTCCTTTTCACATTGCATTAATCTAAGRGTTCTTAGTGTTATCAGACTTTAYCTTTTWTTTTCTTTTATTTTTATCAACCTTTTTACTCACCAGTACAGTTTAGTATCCCTCTCTATTCCAAGTGAAGCAMRGTGGAAAATGGAGCCTGAGTAATAACTAAATAGAGATGATATAGTTGTGAGACACCAATTACTGCTCCTGCAACACCATCTATTCAGGTTATGTGTGACTGGTGTCAACACTCCCTGAGCTGCTAAAGTTACTCCAGGAAGGAACCTCTTGCCAGTTGTCGGAAGCCTGAATATGCATCCATTACCACCTTGCAGGCAGGCTGATTCCTGAGTGCTTTTAAGACTCAAATGTTTCATATGAGCTGAGAAAACCCAGCAAAAGATGTGATGTTCTGGCATCAGCATCATCCCTTGGTGCCCATMTGGAAATGCTACATGGCCTGATTCTTCTGTCAGCTCCACAACGTTAATCTGTACGCGTCCTGGAGTGCAGGACAGGAGACTGACGGTTTCAGAAAATGATCATCTCAGAAGGTTTGCTTATTGAGCTTGAAACCAATGAGATTACCAGCTTCCATCCTTCAGTAAAACATTCATTATAATGAACTATTTTAAAAGCAAATGTCAAATTACAGGCAGTTTTACTGTTTATTTTAAACGGTGCATAAACATTGTATTAAACCATGGTTTCTTTCTCCATGCCATAAATATTCTTTGCTGATAAAAATACATCCCAGAGAGCAAATTAAAGATATAGGCATTAAAAGGCTGATGGAACTCAATGTTATTGCCCTTTTAGAAAGATTTAATACTTTGCTTATCAGATAGATAGTTGAAATAGAGAGACTCTGCCACAACTTCAGGCATGACCCTCCATGTACTTAACTGCTCCATGATGGTCGTGTGCACAAACYGGCTGTACCGGTGATGTCATCATGGACATGTTACTCACTTCCCCGTATATACATCCCAATCTTTTCACCCTATGATGCAATTCTAAAATCCACTTCTGATTGTTTCATTTGGTAATCAAGATCAAAGTACGTGCAGCAAATTTTCTTGCTAGAATGCAGCTAACTTTTAATGACAAATTATTATTTTATAGATATTTTACTTCATAAAACTATTCTTGTGTCACTTATAAGTAGCACAAAATATATAAGGGACACAAAGTATATTATTGCCTGTGATGCCTTTCCCAGAATTAGAATTATTCCCGCAAGATCTGCATTGTTTTACTTGCTGAGATTACAGAGCCCAAATAATTTCCAATTTCCTGCCTTTATTCAGTGGTGATTTTGAGTGTAGATATAAAATGTGCTTTATATACTGTGTTTATACACTGATTTCAGTGAAATTATTTTCTAAGATTTCTAACAAAAATTCATGAATATGACCCATGAAAGCAGAAGTTATTTCATCCATACGAAATTATTGGGAAAGAGAACTGTGATTCAAACTATCTTTTCATTTTCTCATTTTGTAGCTATTATGCKCTTCAATTTCAGCAATTCCAGATAGATTTCCAGCACTACACGTCTCTACAGACAGGTGCATAGAGCTGTGCTGTGTCCCTTGCGTATCCAACCAATGCAAATTTTGACGTTGATTTTAACACAAGTTTTCAACAAAAGAATTTCCACACAAATGCTATTTTAGGTGTGAGGATGATTTAATATTTCCAAAAGAACCTTAAATCATTTCTGGATCACTAGAGGATAGACGATAGTGAAGAAAAGGTTCATAGTTTGCTTTATGTGTTGCCTAGAGAGAAATATTGACCATATTTAGGCAGAGCTCTTTAGGCCCAATAATATGTTAAGACTGTTTGATGTTGCATATTCAAGATATTTGATATCCCAAATGATTCAAAAATTTACTCACAAGAATTTTTAATAATTTTAGTCAAGCAGATTTAGTCACTGGTATAATTAAATGCCTGGAACTTCTGAAGGAAGACTTAGATTTACTAAAATTGGTAGGAAAATGCTGAACAATTCAAATGAAGAAAGGCTACCAACTTCTACAAGGAAACAATCCAATAGATTATACATTGTTGTTTTGGAATCATCTTTTTTTTTGTAAAGAAAACTGCAAACTACAATGGTTTCTAGCATTTTTTTTCTCTTGTTGCAAAACTGGTAACTTATTTGGAGTTGATTGGAGACTCAGCAGGAAACAGAGGAAATCTTCCCATTCTGATGTATATTTTAGATGAAAAGAAATGTAAATGTATTGCTCTTACAGCTCTGCTCCTTCCGGCATGCTAAGATACTATTGCTTTGGTTTTTGAAGGTTTTGGCCCATATCATGTTTAGCCTGCTCCTGTACATCTTCACTTATGGCAGCAGTATAATCAGACTTTGAGATCAAGTCCCAGGAATATTTTTTTTTTCCTATCTATCTTACACAGTCATTTACTTTTTGTTTTGTTCTGTTTTTTTACAGAAGAATACTATTCTTACGTATTGTGACATTCTTCTTCCTATCGAATGCAGTACCTATACAATTTTGTTGCGCTGACTAAATTAAATATCCTGTGTTGTGGATTACATCAAACACATGGTTGCTGGACATGGAGTTGAAAAATCCTGACTATTCTGTTAATTTTCTAATAGAAATGTTATGACAATTAAGCTTCCTGAATAGCTCAGTATTCCAACAGAGATCACTAAAATATGCATGTTGGAATGTACTGCTTCCTTAGGTGATGTTTTGGRTGAGCTATGAATAATAGTCAAAACTATGAAATATGTGAAAGAGTATGTTTCTTCTAAATATTACTATGTTAGTCTGTCCATGTCTTTCATGAACAGAATGTTATCACGTAAACAGGATAGGTTGGGACAAAATGACTTTACTATAAAGAGCTTCCTTATGTTCAGCACTGCGGAAGAGATCCCTAATCCTTTGACTGAAGAGAAGCTCTATTTTATGCAGAAGAAAATCCTGTATATTGTTTTTCAGACCGCTTAAAACTCTTTATGCCTGATTCAAAGTACATTTTTAAGTAGCTACCTCAGCATTTATTCACTGTCAAAATCCACCACCTGTATACAAGAAAGGATGGGAAAACCCAGATAAATGGAACTTGTTTTATTGATGTATGTTGGAGATGGGGCAGAAGTGACTACTTCTATTCCATTTGGAAAGATCTGAAAAGGTTAAGACAAGAAACATATGATGACCTTGTTCACCTGGCCTTCCCTTTAAGTAGACTTCGGGGTCATTCCATACCCTTAAGTCTCTAAGAAGGAGGAAATATATATATATCTGTGAGTTCATCTCTATCTAACATAAGATGACTAATTCTGAACTAATTATCTGAGTTTCCTGATAGTCGCTAGAAAATGATAAGACTGATTGATATCTTAGACAACATGCAAGAATGACCATCACTTTGGGATGTAGGAAGTACTAGATTTAGCATTTGGTTGCAGGGAACCATTGCTTTCCAAGAGAGGGGATTCTGGAAGCTGCACTTGCTGAGTGTCCACTTGACCTGATTTTGTGCTCTTCTTTGCTGCAGATTGATTTTGAAGATGTGATTGCTGAGCCAGAGGGAACACACAGCTTTGATGGGATTTGGAAGGCCAGTTTCACCACCTTCACTGTTACAAAATACTGGTTTTATCGCTTACTGTCGGCAATCTTTGGCATTCCCATGGCTCTCATCTGGGGCATCTACTTTGCCATTTTGTCATTCCTGCACATCTGGGCAGTGGTGCCTTGCATAAGGAGCTACCTGATTGAGATCCAGTGCATTAGCCGTGTCTATTCTATCTGCATCCACACGTTCTGCGACCCGCTTTTTGAGGCCATAGGCAAAATGTTCAGCAGCATCCGAGCCACAGTACGGAAAGAGATTTGAGGGACCTTTCAAGGAGAGTCATCAGCCTAAAGCGGGATTGGGTATTTAGTTTCGTTTGGAGTTTCTTGGTGCCAGTTTCAAGTTTTCCAAAGCAACATGCAGCAACCGGTGGTGGATAGACTGGCCCAAAACAATCACTTGCTCAGTGTCCTTTTCTACTCTTTATTCCTACTGGACTACTTATTCTTTTTTTCTTTTTCTTTTTTTTTTTTTTTTTTTTTCCCTTAAACCTACCTTTCAAACTAACCTTGAATTGCTATTCTTCCTTACCGGTTGCATATCCTCTTACTGACAACTCAGAAACTGAAGTGCTGTTGTTGGATTCCTTTTTATCCTGTCATTCATTCCTTGTAAGCAAAATCAACAACAGTGTTGAAGAACTGCAAAAGTGCTTTCCAACTTTAGAAAGCCACTGTGGCCAAAGAGTGTAGAGCTACTGCAGCAGAATGAACATGACAAGCTGGCAGATTTTTAGCAGAATGTTCTTTTTCTATTGTATTGTCAGATGACCACAGCCGTTTAGAGTCCTGGTCAGATATGGTGTTCTGTGAATAAATTAGTTAAGTAAACAAATTGCTTAAACTAATGTATGCTTTGAAAATCTAACACTTTATCAGGTTGAAGACATTGACATATGAAAGTTTTCATGTCCATAAAAAGCTTCAGTTAGTGCCTTTCTATCTCATTCTCACTTTTGGAAGTTTGCAACCAGCTGTTTTTCAACCTTTGCTAGAACTGCGGAGGCAAACTGAAGTTRAAAACTAAAACTGGTCATTATGGAAATGTTTCCTGACTGTGACTTGTGATGCAACCCTTAGTTAGCATTTAGGTGCTTATCTCATAGTTTTTTTTATTGTTGTTGTTCAAATATTCRTATAAATACATATATCAAGTAGGCCAGAGATAACCCAGAGTTACAAAGAAAATAGAGGTGTGCCAAAAGTAAGCCACATAATGCCAAGAGGGAGCTGTCTCTGAGAGAATCTTTCCTATCATCAGCTTTAAACACTTTCCTATCAGCAGAAGTCAGCATGCCACTAGTCCATAGAGTCCACAGAATATTTTCTGGAGAACTGATGCTTTACTGAGTCTAAACTAATCCATCTCAAGAGATGGTTTAGAAATTTCACATTGTGTATTCTTTTTCTTTTTTTTTAATTATTTTCTTTAGCTGAGCTGCAAGGAAGTCTTAAATGGAGGATATTGTGTGAAACTATCATATGTTGCAAAGTACAAGGCCTAGAATATAAAGCCTTTGCAACATAATGTTGATGCTGTGACCTACAAGAGCTTTTAGTCCTCAGGACAGTACTGTGTTCAGAGATACTGTGTGTATCCTCATATGGTTTGCATAAAGCATATGTAAAAATAACTGTGAGGGTCACCAGCTTTAAAAACGTCTTTATAAACCTTTGTAAACCTCACTGGGGTCTGAGCCTGCTCCAGTTGGGGTCTATGGCAAAACAGTTCTTGGCCTCTGAGAATGTAAGATGTGGCCCTTAGATTGAACATGGAGCTGCCTGGTACACCTACAGCTTTATAATTAGTGCTGATATCCCACGTATTGCTTTACCTAACACAGGAGTGCCTTCAGTTCAATTGCTGCCAAAGCGTTGATGATTGTGTAGAAAATGCTGCGTTTTTTAATGGGGGGTAGGGAGGGTGCACACAGAAGTTACAAACATATTAACTACTATTGTTTGCATTTAAAACAGACACTGGTATGGATAGAGTTTTATGTTTTTCTATGTACATAACGGAGAGTGTACTATTATAGAGTTTTGCAGTATTAAAAACAAGCAACATTGTAAACAAGAAATATTTTATGAGGAAAATCAGTCTGAAAGAAACCTTCTTGATTTACCGTATAAACTGTATATCCTGAAAGATGTCTGTTCACTTAGATTTATTAGTCCCTAATCCAAATACATTGCTGATCAAAGACATTTAAATCATTGTTATATGCTTACAGACATAACTGACACTTTTTTTTTATTCTGCATGTACATTAAAGACTATAATAAAAAGATGTTTAATGGTAGCTCCTGTCTGACTTTTATTCCTAGAAAACTGAATGAACAAATCTCATGTTGCTAGGAAGCCAACCTTAGTATTTCTTGATTAAGGTAGAAGAAGTTATGTCATGTTTCTCAGGAAAGAATGTGCAAAATACTAATTTATGACACAAGATCTGACCTATGAAGGTTGTTCCCTCCAAAAAAAAAAAAAACCCTTTTCTTTACAAATAAATATTTTCTGTTACTGAGTAAATAAGCAAAAGGACTAGTAAAGATGTTTAATAATGACCTTGGACAAATTCTTTTGATTTCTGTTTCTGAACTTCTCTATATTCCAAAAGAGAATAAAGCTATTTACTTATAAAGAGACTTAAGATCCAATAAATTGGACAATATCATAACAAAAAGAGTGCTTCTAATTAATTTTATATAAAAGATCTTAGCCATCTAAAATTCAGCGCCAGATTGTCCTGATAGCTCTCAGTTAAAATAAATTAAAACTTTCCTTTAGACTGTGGTGAAACAGAACTTTTCCTAATGAAAGTTTGTTTTAACCTAAGTATTTACTACATGTAATTAGGGAATGACAACTTTTCCCCACCCATACACAGACACAACTTGTGACAGAGCAGTCTTTGTCTTTGAGGTTATTGCACAATATCTGTCTCACCTTTACCCGAATACATAAAAATCCATTACAGCCAATAGTAGGCTATTATAATTCTACCTGCAAATCTATTAGATCTATTTTAATGTTCAGATAAAAAAAAAAATCAGCAGAAGATGGTCTGTTGCATGTTTTCCAATAGCAGAATGGTGTTTTAGTGTTATTTAACGGTACAATGGCAGTAAATAATGCATTGAATGTTCTGGACAAGGTATTAGGAGAAAATTCAAAAGAAGATTATGAAAAGTAAATTGAAGATTGCAGTAAAAAAGTAAAGCAARTGAATATGCCAGTATTCAAAAACATCTTCCTTTTGGAAAGAGCCTGATAGATTTAGAATAGCACAACTATTCATTTATGATGTCACATGGCCAAAATTCTTCCTGAGGGGAACACACCGATTTGACTTATTACTTACTGCACTGCCCATAGAACCTCTATGACCTCTCTTGACCTATTTCCTTAACACCCAGGGTCCATGTATGGGGGAGCCAGGTGGTCAGTCTAAACAATCCAGATCAACCTGATTTTAAGAAATGTTATAGCTAGAGGGTGCAATCATTGGTTTTGTGGTTTATCCCTTTCGGTTGTTTAAGAACAGAACTCTGCAGAATATTTGTTTGGAATATATATTTTTTAATCTGGTTGCCAAAAGGTGTAATTACAAGCCATAAGCTTTTGTTAATGGTGGAGAATTTCCATGAGTGCATCTAAGCCAACTTTTCTCTCTTTCTTGATTTAAACTAGAGTTGCTCTCTGTTCATTTGCTTTCTTTTGTTGTCTCAGGTGACTGCTGCATCCGTCTTTTTTTCCCTTGCCTCCAGAGGAAGAGGAGGGAAGCATAGAGTCAAATCGCTGCCAAACTAGAAGGTCTCTGTCATCTTCAATTTYGTCTTAGTAGATTTTATTTTGCATTTATCTTACTTGATGTCATGCTTTACAGGTTGTGTTATTCCCGTCTTGCTTCCTTCTCTAATACCTTTAATTAAGTTTTTCATTGTATCATTCAATTAGCACATCCTGCTAATTATTTTTACCAAAGATAGTGAAAGTGGAAAGACTGTGATTAGACCATAGTCACTAGTCTGTGTCTTTCCATGTGGCCTTCATTTTGTTCTTTACATAACCCTGTGAAAGACACRTTTTATTGCTGTGTTCAGATACAATCCACAGAAGGCCCTAGGCTCAATCCTGTTMTCTCTTTTTGCTTTGAAAATCTGAATTTACATAACTCTGCAGATGCCTGATCTGCAGAGTTTAAAGGCACATAATTGCCAGTAAAATTGTCAGTAAAGGCGTCCAGGTCACATCTAAGCACAGCTGGGACCTAGAGATGAGATGTTGCTCTGCCTGCCTTCATCTCCTGTGGGAACCCAAGGTGATCGGCATTCCCAGAGACACTAACTTGGACTCAGAAATACCTCCTTGAGGCTCGCAGTCAAGCTGTCAGCTTCCTGAGATAGAGGGGAGCTAAACCCTTTCCACTGCACTCCCTACTGTAAGAGTGAGCAGCTCATGGGGCAGTTTGCTAACCATTAGGATTCCCTCTTCATATGGCCTGTTTTCCTCGTGTGCCGCCAAGGAACTAGCTGTAGACCTCTAATAGGGCATGATGGTTTCCAATAGGAATGCAGTTGCCTGACAGGTACTGTCTGGCCACCATGGCATCCATCTAGTGGCCTGAAGTCTTCAGACCCAGGTTTTCTCTTTCTGCAAGCTCTCAGCAGTGCAAAGAGGAGTAAAAGCAGCTTTCAATCACTGTCGTATTCTCCAGTTCCAACAGTTCTACCTATAATACTGTTCTATAGTTTGAAAGAGTGGGGGTCGAGGCTGAAGGCTGTTCTGTTCTCTACAGAGACTGTTGCCCTTGGGGAGTGTTTTGGCACCCTTATATGACAATCTCGCATGATCGTATCTTTGAAACTTTATCCAGGAAATAGGTACGCATTGGCACATCTGGACACTAACAGTATTTTCCTGGTTAGTTATTCTGACCTGCAAAATATGCTCTACACTTGAGGATCAGCCGAGACAACCCTTAAAGCACCAAAGGATCTGTTGTTGTATAACTTGTTGGCAGCTGTCAGAACGGAGGCGTTCATCTGCAACTATTACTCATCAAAACATTCAACATGCCCATCTCTAGCAACCAGAGCTCCACATGCAGTTTGCCAGATGTGCATGTTGCCAGAAACTCTACTAGCAGAAAACCAGAGTGAAAAAAGTGATGTGGAAACTAAAGAGCAAAATGGAACAAATCTTGATGCTAAAATAAGTATGTGTGTGTATATATATGAAATAGGAAGGAAAAGGAAGGAAAAGAGGAAGGAAAAGGAAATTATATCAAAAGGATATCTAAGTATATCCTATCTAAGTATACTATCCAAAAGTATACTATGTAAGTTGGGATAACATCTAAGGAGGGATAACAAGAGCATGCTGAGAACCATGCTGGGGAATCACTGAAAGCTGCAGTCAGGACTCAGGAAGCAAGAAGAACAGTCTGCAGGC